CTATTAGACTAGCTTAATATTAAAACTTTCTTCATATTTTCTTATTGTCTCTATGCCCTTTTATATTAACCTATTCGATGATTGAAATAACAAAATATTCATGGAATCGCTCGTACAGCAAGTCTATTCACAAAGTTTTCTTCACCTTCAGGCGTATTGCTGTTCTACTTCCAGCCGGAATTGAGTCACATTCTCCACCCATCGCTGGAGGTCATAACTCTTCCCCTTGCCCAATTGACACACCACAAGTGCCTCAGTCGGTTGCTAATCGGATAGACCGGTGTAGACTAGCATCTGTGCGCGAGGAGCAGGTTAAAGTCAATAGGCGGCTAATTGCACTGGAGGCAGAGCACCAACGATTGACGGCTGAGGTAGCGAGGGGACGTGAAAGATCTGCCGATCCGGCAGAAAAAGAGATGGTACTTAAGTTTTTACTTTTATAGTTTTATGAGACCTTAAAGATGATATTCTTCACTTTCCTGTAGTAACTCTTCATATACCACAATTAAGCTAATACCAAATATTTATTAAGTCTGCTGACTTGTGTCCACTTCTGTATCTTGATTTCGAAGACACTTCCTTCTGACATTATACTTAAAATTCCTTTATAGAACCCATAGGACTCTAAGTGTTGAAAATTTTGTAGAACTTAATGTTTAGAAATGCTAGATTGTCACTTCAAAATCTCATAAGAAGAAATGAGGAGACAATTTATTTTGAGAGTGATGTTAGAGGTCTCTAAAATTATTATTTCTCAGACGTGGAAGGAATAAAATTTGCTGTGCAATCTTGATCCTTGCCTCTTTTTCTATTTTCGTTCATGGATTCCTATGTCCGAGTCTGAGGAGGTTGACATTTAAATCCAGTATGAGAGCTATTTCAAAGCATTATGTTTATGTGTATACATTATTAAGAGAATTCATCAATTCTAATCTGGGTGCAGATTACATAGCCCCCAAACTAACTTGTGATCCTGCAAAGTAAGCGTAATTCATATTTTTGGAAGATATATTAAAATTCGGAGTTGAGAAAAGCAATCGTTTCACTATCTATACGTTTTATTCATTACTCTTAGTATCTGTCACTGGAATGATTGGTGCCATGTCATATCACGACTTGTGATTGATAAAGGATTATCTTTAGGTGGTTTTAACCTATTTTATACTAGTTGTGACATGTTTTTGACAGCCGTTTTCTACTCTTTTAAGGCGGTTGCAATGGCTCAAAATCTCGAAGAAGCTGAACAGATGGAGCAGGTTGTCTGTGTTACCTGCGCAACGGAAGTGAATATGCGACATGCTCTTAGACACATGGAAAAGTGTTTTCAAAAGGTACATTTTTGCTTACATTATATTCCTTTCACTTAACTATTTGGGTTTAGCTATTTCGACTTATTGTGACAAAGCTTGAACTTTTCCTAATTGTTCACTTTCTAGCTTATCTTCTAAGTTAAAAACAAATTGTTCCGCCAACGAATTAAAAGATTTTTTTAGAATTGGGTTGACTTTATTTAACGCACCTTGTCCTAGGTCCTCTGCCATAGTAGTTATTATAATTCCCAGTGTCAGACTATAAACTTCGTACATTCTCAGGCGTTTCGCCGGCATCGTAGTCGGCATCTTTAGTGAGTTTTGCCATTCTCAGCACCGAGCTAGAACTCGTCAAATGTTACCAAAGGCCAGCTTCATGTTCCTTAAGGACCATTGCGCAGAATATTTTGTTTTTTCTAATTGCCCCAAAAGGGCAAACTTTTTGATAAATGGAATATAAACAAGCCATA